TGAGCGGCCTGTGATCCTTGCAGGAGATTTTAATGTGAATTTCTCGTTACCTGAAGCTGAAACATTATTAACCTTCCTTAAAGACAAATTTGGATTGGAAATGATAAATGATAGGAATGATCCAACAACCAAAAGGGGAAACTACCGTTGATGCAGTTTCTGCAAGAAATATTGAAAAAATAGAATTTAAACATTTTGTATCTTACTTTAGTTATCATAATCCCATTGTAAATGTTGTAGATTTGGATATTTCTCCACTCGAAATAGATAGTTAAAAGATGCGATCAATTGTGAATTGTAAGCAATGTTAATAAAGTTTGCCTTAAAGAAACAATATGATTTCACTAAAAATCAATTTCTACCCCTTCCTATTTTCATTTCCACATTACGAAGTTTCACTTCTTCCGCGCGGAGGGACTCCACGCACTATTTTTTATTAATATTTTTTCCAACAGAAAATGGCAGAACAGTTCTTTAGCTATATGACAGTTATATGAAAGCTTCAATTTTTCACAAAGGGACATCAAAAATTCCACAAATAATGAAAATAAGGTTTTTTGTGCTTAGAGGATATGGCCCGTAAGAAATTCTAACCTTGTTAAATAATATTCACCTTGAGGAATTAATCTTGTTTCTTAATCACGATGATAATATTAATTTCAATTTTTCGGAATTATTTCAAAAAAGAAGAAACTATCTACATTGTTGATTTATACGATAAAAGAAATAATTTTAATATAAATAAACTAACTAGTGGGAATTCTAATGTTTATAAAAACATTTGTTTAAATACCAGTTTTAATCAAATGAATAGAATTAAAAGAATATTTAGTAATGTTTATTTATTCAAAAAAGAAATCTAACTCTTTCCAGTTTTTATAAATAACAATGGATACCCAACTAATGTAATTATGTTCGATATAAAATCATTGAATTAATTGAACGTAAATATTATTAATCAATTTACTTAAAACTTCTTTGTTAACTAAATTTTTATTCTTACCATTTGCCAATTAGTTTCTAAAAATCTGTGCAAATCAGGCATATCATGTTTTTTTTACCTAAATAAATGTTAATTTTCTAAACTCATTAAAATTGTATAATTAAATATGAAACTTATTAATTATTAACTTTAAATTACCCAGTATAATATTTATTACCTTGCACACATCTATTTTCGTTTCAGTCCAAGGTAACTAACAAATCAAACGCGATTCAGTACTGCAGTAGGAATGCGCCATAAAAGACACCTCTATTTACTCTTCTATTTTCATATTTTGTAATCTGGCAATTTATTACTAAAATATTTTAAACTAGTGGGCTGCGCCCCCTGCTTGCTAACGCCCGCCAACCCCCGAAAATTGCTACGCAATCTTATATGGTTTGCTTCGCAAACCAAGCTCGCTACTAACTTAGGTACATTGCAAATGCACAAAATTCTAAGAAATCTAAACAATCATTCAAATCCATATAACAACTTTAAAAAAAAAAAAATTACATCTTTTTAGTAAATACTAAGTCATTAAAATAAATTTGAATTCAAATAAATGACATGTAATTCGTTAAACCTATTAGAAATGTGCTATAGTATAATTCGTGATGTAAATCAAAAATCGTCAAATAAATTCGTAATATATAAATTCGTGAAAAAAAGCGCTTTCGACAAAATACTAAAATAGAGATCTATCGACAAAGACTACTCACTTCTGCCTAGCTTAATAGTATGAGATTGCCGCAGCTGATGCTCTCTGGTTATTTCAGTTTCCGTTTTTAAAAGCGCCATATGTCGAGTCACCTCAGCTAGATTTGGCATGTGACATTTTTAGCGGCATATCATAGGTCGATTTTCTAGCGTTGCCATTCGGAGAGTTGTAATGAGGCTTTTTTTTTGTCACCGTGCAAGAGAAATATACATATAGATAATTTTTGAAAGATCATGGAACGTGTAAAGGCCTGTTTAGACGATCCAATTTCTTGGACAGAGATTGATTGATATTGATGGAAACTTGTTTTGCTTTGAGCTGGGATCGTGTAAACAAACATCCAAGAACTTGGTCTAACTTTTTGGACGATAGTAGAGCATGTTCTACTTTCCATCCAAGTTTTTTCTCCCTTAACCAATCAGCGTCTTAGGTTTTGTGACGTCAACAAGCTGGCAGCAAATTATGTCATTTTGTTGTGGGTTTTCATATATTTTAGTCCAAATAAATTGATCTGTTGAGGTTTATTTGTGTTATTATGATTTTATTTGAATTTATTTAGTAATTTCAAACTTATGTAAGTATTATTTTATGATGTTGAATATGAACAGTGCGCATGCGCAAGTTTTTCTTTCAACCAATCAGCGACATTCAAGAACTTGGATAGTGTCAACGAATCATCCAATTTCTTGGAAAGAGAAATCTGTCCAATTTCTCGGATTCAAGAAATTGGACCGTGTAAACAGGCCTAAAGATCTTGTGCGTGTAAATTCATTTAAATTCCCTACTCGCTTTATAGATTTCGTTTTGTGTTTCATTCTGCATTTTCTTCACATTTTATATTTTTTGCATTAACGTGATATTTTTACTTAATTTGTTCCATTTTATTTGTTGTAAATTTTTTTGAGTGCTCCTCTCACTATTGTATTGATATATATTACGCTTTGCCTATATTGATACAATGTTAGAAAGCACTCCTTTTTGCGGGTATAATAGTTTGAGCTGATGAAGAAATTATTTTTTTTCCGGATTTTTAATAATTTCTTTTTCAGATTAATAATTTGTTTTAAATTTAAATAATATTTCTTCTTCTCTTCTCATTAATCTTTATTATTTTCCATATTTTCTCAATATTTTAACTTATTTTATGAGTTCTATGTACTTGCAGCTTATGCGCAGTTAATAAAACTTATTAATTTTCTTCTTTTTTCTATTTTTAGTCAAAAAGAGTTTGAGGCACTGATAACAAAATGGCAAAGCGAGGAGAATCACATATCTGAGTCTGAATTATACGCACTGAAAGACAAAGTAAGCTCAAATTTTTATCTTGAGATGTGCCATTGGTGAGTTGCACAACATCAAAAAACTATTAAAAAATCATTATTCATCTTGATTGGTCAGATAAATTAATATATATCAATTGAACACAGAAGGTTTGATGGTTTCTAGCATCTGAAATGTGTACAGAGCACAAAATAAATAAAAAGGAACACCTTGAATAACTTTAGATCTAATGGTGGGATTTTTCCGTACTGTCAACCAAACTTAATAGTTCGAGGACTTAACCTTAAATATGGTTAATTATTAGTACAGGGTATATTTTGAATTAAGAAACCAGACACATAAATATACTTTCTCTAAATATACATACCTTTTTTCTCAACCGATTTCTAACCCTCAAAATATACGGGTTAGCCGTAATCTGAAAATAGGGTCCCAATAGTTTGGGACCCTAATAATAGTCTCCGGAAGCTAATTAAATAGTTCCTGCACACAATTATAAAACTTGTTTATTCATAGATAATTGCATGCAAATTGTTATGTTTTATAATATTTTTGTTATTATTTAATTCATTAATACTCGAAAAATGTTTAATTAGTTGTAAGGTGCACAGTTGATTACACCAATTTAATCTGCGTAATTTTGATAATTCTTGAAAAATAAAAACTGATGGCGCAAATCTAATTTCTATGATCATTACAAAAAAAAGTAAACTTTTATGTCTTTTATTTTTATTTTATAAACATCATTGAACAGCAGACTCAATTTTTTGGGCTTGCGACTACTAAACTTGAACTTCGTAGTCCTGTAATTTTGAACCCAATCCAGATACCAAGGGAATTCCTTTGTCAAGTATTGGGAGAAATTTGCCTTCATAGAGGACTTTTTGATGGAACTAACCCGCGTTTGCGTTATATGGCGAGGAAAACTACGAATACCTCCCACGGTTAGGCCGACCCAATTTGTGGTTTACGACTATTGAAGTTCGACTCCGTAGCTTTGTAATTTTGAACCAATCCAGAAGACAAAGAGACTCCTTGATCAGTAACTCCAGAGTTATGTGTTATGGGAACATGGAGGACTTTGAAACTCGACAGATCTAACGTTCTTCTGTCAACATTTACTTCGGACGACGAGGATCAAACCCATGAACTCTTGGACATGGGCCCAGTGCCCTACCAGCCAGGTCATCTGCCTTAAGTGTGCAATAAAATGTCTTTTATTGCACACTTAAAATAAGCCAAATATTTACCAAAAGTTTAGAATTTAAAATCATTACGATCAAAAGTTTTTCACCTTTTTATTTTGGCACTGAACTTCTACTAAGCTCATAAATTGCTCCATGATATTTTTATGACTATAATTACATTTTTGAAGAAATTTCTTTTTATTAAATATGGTTTAAGCTACAACACTGTATTTAGTATTGACATGACACAAATATCGCCGATTGGAGCAATTAAATACTTTACAAATACCTTTCATAGATTTATAAATCAGTGCTAAATGTTAAGAGAGGATTAGAAAGTGATGTTTTCTTAACATTAAATTTAAAAACATTTAGTTTTGTTTTAGGTGTAATCCTTACCTTTTATTAACAACCCTGTGATATCCGGCATGCAAATTTTTAATTTTAAATCGATAAAAATATGCTAGGTATTTCTTAATGAAATTTTGTAGATGGTATTGAGGACATTATGCGAATTTTCAACTTTTTTGACTCTTTGAAAATGCAGCTATCGAAATAAATGGAAATCCGATGGGTCAACATCTGATAAGTATGATGGGTGAAGTAGTACCTTTCACAACAATTCATTAATTTCGTCCAAGGTTTACTCTTCCTGATTGATCGAAATTACCGGATCTGAATAACGGAAATTTGCATATACATCGCAATTGTTTTTGCTAACACATATAGCGATACTTCTCTTTGGATACTCAAAATCCATACAATGCTGAGTATATACCGCTTCTGGTGTTTGATTGAACAATAAATAATATTATAATAATAAATTTATTTGATAAATGAAATAATATTTATCTGAGAATGAGGAAGTTACTCTAACTTTAAAATGTCTTTGGTGCAATTTTGAAGTATAGAATGAGCTGATAAATGACAAATAACGAAACGCTCAAATATTAAAATTCGTAGAAGCGACTGTACCTTCCGGACTTTTTAATGATATTATTTATGAATTACTATTAATAGAAAACATTTATCCTCTGATCTCAATCTAATATCTTCTGATCTCAATCTAATATCTCAATCTGCAATATTCAGATCTCAATCTTCAAATGTCCCTCAATATCCTTCATTTCATTTTAGAACCCTTTAATCTTGTATTTTCTTTAATGTTCTATCATCCTAGAAAATTTTTATCGTTTGTCTTTCAGCGATTTCTCTTCTTAGAATACTTTATTGTAATAAATAATTGTTTTTTAATCTAGAGTCTCAGTGTTCTTTAATCTTATGAAAATTTAATCTAATGATGTTAATGCATTCATTGTAGCTTTTTTCGTAGCATCCTAATTTCCAATTCTACTTGAATTTTATTATTTTTTAATCTAATAATTTAATGTTCATTGATCTTAGCACACTTTAATTAAATATCTAAATGTACTTTCATATTAGAACATTTTGTTCTTATGTCTTTATCAATCTTATTTTATTTTAATAGAATGTTCAAATATTCTTTAAACTTGAAAACTTTTTATTTAACGTACCTGCTGTTCTTTAATCTTATCAAAATTTAACCAAACAATGTTAATGCATTAATATTCTTAAGTCTTCATGGCTTGTATTCTAATATCTTTAATCTTAGGAACTTTTAATCACTTGTAATTATTAAATCACTAGATGCTTTATTTTGCAGATGAACCAATGATTTTTAACTAATTTATATTTTTCAGACCAATCGCCACATTCGATTGTCGGAGCTGTTGCAAAAATATTCCTCCGAATCATCACTCGTCGTCATGTAAGTTCTCCACTTATTAACTAATTAAATAATCAATTAATCAATCCTTTCTTAACTAAACACACCAGCGAAAACGTTAAAATTTAAAAGAGATCAGAATTTTTTAAAAATGATGGAATCAAACATTTAAAAGATTGGTTTAACGTTAAAACATTAAAACGGTTGGTTAAATTTCCGTTCTGCAGAGAGCTTTAGTTATATCTCAAAACATATTTCAAAATCTGTGTGAAAGTTAACTTTAACTATAGCGAAATTTGCTTATTTTGAGCTAGGAACGCCCTTTTTCTGAAGAAACATATATTTTCCCATCAAATTCGGAATTATCACTTTCGAAATCGCTTGGGTAGAAAAAAGTTTTGAAACTCTGGCTATCATAATTTAACCGCTATGGATGGTTGACCGTGTAAAGCTAAGCACAGATGGTTATTATTAATTAAGACTACGAATAAATCGAATCATAATTTTTTCTTTTAATAATTATTTATAAAGTGAAAATGATTCTTAAAATCTTATTGAACATCTGCTTAATGCTAAGGTAAGATCTGGTTTGTATGCAGCATTGTTCGCATTTTAGGCAATAGGTTAAGAGTTTTGGTCCTGGAGTTCTCTGGCGAAATTGAATGTCTTATGTAGTACATTAAAATCTGCCGGAAGTTGTCTGTCCGATGACAAGCTGGTTGAGCAAAGTATCAGCTCAGGCACAAACCCCATCATCTGACCAGATGGCTTGTCATTCTTACTAAGTCGTTACCCAAAACAAAATTCTTGATGGTCCCATCAATAAATTTTGATGGTTTATATTGGTTTCAACGTGATTTATGATGGTCCATTATGATTTGAGGGTCATTCAATATTTCCCATTATGCGTTCATGGGTTTTGATATACCAACAAACTTTCTACCTTCTATGATGGAAAATTCTACTTTAATACTATGATGGCTAACCCTCAAAAGAAGCAACAATCCATGATGGTCCATGATGGTTCAATGGGAATTATTGTTGGATTAGCAGGAATATACTATAAAAACAATTTTTTTTTTAATGTTGGCTCATCGAAAACCAGTCCGAATTCCTACATGGTGGTTCATGATTGTTCCAACATTTGATTTCTAAGAAACTATGATGGAAATTTCTGATAGTTCAACAAGAACAAACCATCAAAACAAGTTGCTATTCTTATGTTGGGCCATCATAAATCAGTCCTACATTGGGATAATGGTTACTTATGTTGATTACTATCAAAAATATAATGGTTCACGATGGAATTATTGATGGTTACCATCAAGATTACGTTGGTCCATCAATGGAAAACCATCAAAAATGTTGTTGTTGTTCATTTACGTCGCACTAGAGCTGCACAATGGGCTATTGGCGACTGTCTGGGAACATGCCGAAGACATGCCATCACAATTTTGATCCTCTGCAGAGGGGATGGCACCCACGCTTCGGTAGCTCGACGACCTGCACGCGAAGTCGAGCACTTTACGGTAGAACAGTTTAACGAGGACCTATACCGCACACCCTCGGTCCCTATACAGACTGATTCAAGTGGTCACCCACCCGCACGCTGACCGCAGCCAGTGATGTTTGACTTCGGTGATCTGCTGGGAACCGTGTCTTAACGATCAGTCCACTGTGGGACATCAAAAATGTTGACTTTGGTAATTAGTTATAATTCTTGTTAAACAGATAGTTGCTTCTACATGAGCAAGTAGTTAGAAACATTCCATGGCATAACGTCGAAATCATAGTTTTGGAAAAATATAATTAAAATTATGTTATTTTGATCATCTACTGACATGTTTCTTTCTTTTCCCAGGACTTTACCCATGCCCAGGAAAAGCACGTGTTCCGCAGCCCTGTACATGGCATGGCTAGAGACACTCACCAAAGACATGCCTCCTTTCCTTCTCATACGAGGGAATCAAACCAGTGTCCTCACATTCTACTCCTGAAGAACATGTGAAATAAAAAAAAGGAACTTGTTGAAACATGAACTGAAATTTATGGGAGAACAAAAAGCATGCAGGCATGGCCAGTCCTCCTACCAACTCTTTACTCACAGTTCCTTCGTTATTCGTAGTTCTATTTTAAAAGACAGAAAAAAAAAGACTTTTTTTTTATGCGTACTGATCATTCATATCAATTTCATGTCTCGAAAGAAATTGTATGCGTAGCTGATACGAGTCTATTATAGTTTTAAAAAAATATTGTTTACAAGTTTAAACTGTTTACCTGAAAATTTTGAGTATGTTTTGTAGATTTATTTCAGTTTGAAATATGTTTATCTAAACTAGTTTTAGTTTAAACAATAATGTGCACAAGAAACTTCAACTATTTATATTAAAAAAAATTATAACTGACGGATCTATTTCAGCTTAAAAATATTGTATGCGTATCTTATGCATACAATATTTTTAAGCTGAAATAGATCTGTTATAAAGCTTGAAGGATATCTGTTTTAGCTTGAAAGATATTCTATTTATATCTTAAGAATACTTTGTTTCAGCTTGAAATTCATTGTGTGTGTATCTAATACAGATAAATTTCAGCTTGAAAGATTATTTGTGCGTATCTAACGAATACTTGTTTTTGCTTGAAATTCATTGTGTGTGTGTATCTGATGTAGATCTATTTCGGTTTGAAAGATTATTTGTGCGTATCTTACGAATACTTGTTTCTGCTTGAAATTCATTATGTGTGTATCAGACAGATATAGATCTATTTCAGCCAGAAAGATAGTGTGCGTATCTTATGAATACTTTGTTTCTACTTGAAATTCTTTGTGTGTGTATCTGATATAGGTTTATTTCAGCGTGAAAGATAATTTGTGCGTATCTTACGAATACTGGTTTCTACTTGAAATTCGACGCATGTGATATAGACAGGAAGATATTGTATGAGTATGCGATATTAATTTTGGATTTTATTGAATGTATGTGACCAACAAAGATCTATTTTATCTTGAAAGATCTTGTTCACATAGCTGATACGGAATACCATTGTTATTCAATCATCAAGTATTTTACTACATTATTTTATTTCACTTATTCAATAGCATCATGTACCAGTATATTTTTTTTATAATCTAGCCTAGAGATTTCTTTCCTTTCTATTCACCCGGCAAAATACTGTTTAAAACCTTCACGAGACTTGGAGAAATTTTTATATTGAAACTATGGAAGAATATATAATGAAACTGAAATAAATTTTGTACTGAAAATCTAGTTTGTGAATAACTTTAAAATTATTATTTTCCTTCTCCTGAAGTGGTGCAGTAGAAAATCGTAGCAAATTTTAATTTTACCAGCAGGAAATATTCTTGCAATAAATTTACAAAAAGTCCATACGTCGATGTCGAGAATCTTAATAAAATGATGACTTGAAATATCTATTTAACAAAAATAAAAGGAGATAGATATGAACAGTTAGTTCACACTAATAAGTTACAAAAAATTTTAACAAGTGGCGCTACTGAATAAAAAAACTCTAAACCAATGTTTTCTGCATGTGAATTCTGTATTGGTTAATTCTGTTCGCAGGAGAAGCACCATGTTGTCACGAAAAATAGTGGTTATAAACATTTTATTGTTTTTCTCAACTTACAGTGCCATCTCTTTATGAACTATGTAACTAATTTTTAAAAATGGTGAAAATAAGCTCACTGGTTTCCTAAGCAGAACACAACAAACCGTACATTGCTCTTTTTTTCCGTTTTTCACTGATTTTTCAAATCATCGGTGATAATTTTGTATCGTATCAGTACCCGTTCGCGTCAACTACTCTCAAGGGCTTTTGCTCTTGCAAAGATTTAAAAAAACATATGTAAAGGTTTGGGCATGGCCTTGAGATCAAGGATGGCCACGAATTACATCCTTCCGAGTTGGTCACCTTAGATGACATTTTTAGTTTTTTGCGTGCCCCTACCCACCTGTCCCAAATGCGATTTTCTTTGACACAGGTACGGATAGGTCTGTGTTTAGAAATCTGCAATATGACAAAATCACAGGAAAAGCTTTGAGAAGGATTCTAGGTATCGTGATACATAGAGGCACTGATTAAATAATGAGCTGTACTAGCTATATAGAGCGCAGATATTACTTATCACATTGATAATTAATTACGCGCCCCATGTCCATAGGGCCCATTCCAGTATTTGATACGCCACACGGAAGCTCCCCGTCACAGCACCAAAAACCGAGCAATTCGCGTACTTAATGCACAAGCAACCGAGTCACTCACGAGTAAAAGCACAACAACTGCATAGCAATAAGTGATGAAAAAGCAATAGAAAAAAATACTTCAAAAAGTGATTATGACTGAGAAAAGTAGATAGAACTATATAGAAAAATATATAGAAGAAACAAGTCAACTTAGATAAACGTACTTAGAGAAATGATCGAGAAATAGTACCTATTGAAAGAGAATACTTAGAGAAAGAGAGTACTTAGAAAGTAGTAAGATAATATTGACACAAATAAAGCACGTCAAAAGTAATTACCAGTTCGTAACTAGCACTGGGCAACAATGTCTGTATTATAAAAATCTGGATTTAAAAATAAAAAAAAGGAAAAAATCGATAATAACCTCCGAATACAGGACTGAAAAAACACTTGGATTAATTATTAACTGGACACAAATAAAGAGTTTTAAGAGTGATTTCTAAAATTCGAAATTCACGCATCATAATTTTGTCGAATTACAAATATTGGGGCTTGTAAAACTTTTGAAATTTGTAGCAATAACCACAGAATAAAGTGATAAAAAAAACATTGATTTAGATTAGGCGAGGGTGAAACTTCAACTCGCAGTTCAAAATTTCCTATATTTCTTATTTTCCAAAAAATAAATAGTATATACATATATATATTTTTATTCCGTTCAGGTACTGCCGCGAACCACACATCAAAAGCTGTCGGGGGTAGCGTCAAAGTTCAACGTTTGCAAAATCATTTGCTCAACTTACTTAGTAGTATGCAAAAAAAAAAAAAAAGCTTTACTGAAATGGTTTACATTGTTAAATAAATCTAGAATACTTTGATTTTAAAAAATATTTAAAATATATTATAAATATATTATAAAATTAATTGCAAAATGGATATATTAAATATTTTAAATATTTAATATATCCATTTTGCAAAAATAAGCATAGCAAGCAATTCTTACGCACTTTTTTTTATCTATTCTCTCTAAAAATATATATATTTTTCACTCAAGCTAAATTACTTTTCCATATTAAAAAATAAATAAATTTCGAATTAAAAAAAATCAGATTAAAATACAAACTTGTCAACTAAACAAGTATTTTAAAAATCAGCAATTTATGATAATTCACTTTCATTCAAAGATTAAATATATATAATCGAAATTAATAAGAATAATATTTACCTGAACAACAAACATATTTAGAGTTATCCATAGAATATTTGCATGCACTGTGTACGAAACATTTCGTAACACTCCAAAAATATCTTCATTTTCGGTAAATATTCGATGTTTTTTTTTCTAAGTAAATCACTACTCAGAACAGATAACTTGTTAGATTAAATCGTTATTTGTATTTACAATTTGGAACTAATACTTTGTTTTGTTTGCAGAGTGAGATATATAATCACAAAAGATGCTTGTTCTTGAAAATAGTCCGTGTTGCCGATATCTGGACATTATGAATTCAATACAGTTATGGTTGCAATTGGAATTTTCCGATATCTAAAGAAAAATGTTGCTTAATAAATATTTCCTCGATTTAATTTCAATAAAAATAAATATTTTTTGTAACAGGAATAGAGAAAAGACGTCTTATATCCAAGAGAAAAGAGATATTTCCGGGCACCGCAAGAGATAAGGGGGATATATATAAGGGGACATCACCAACTACAATAACCAAGTCACCTAAGGTATAGAGTAAAATCAACACCTCCTAGAAGAAAAAAGGCTTTATTGGAATTGCATACATTTGCAGGCTTGTGTGCTCAATTTAATCTTATAAACCTTTGTCAAATAGAAGGACAGATTGCACAGTACAACGAAGGACAGCACGAAGATCCATTTGGGGTAACAGTGGAATTCGAACCCGCTACCTTCACGCTTTGCACAGCGTTTGACGGGTGATACCGCTCGGCAGGGAGGACCCCCAAAAAAGGCTTATTGGTTTATAAGTTTTACATACATTTGCAGGCTTGTGTGTTCAATTTAAGCTTATAAACCTTTGTCAAATAGAAGGACAGATGGCACAGTACAACACGAAGATACATCCAGGGTTGCAGCGGGATTCGAACCCGCTACCTCCCCGCTTTGCACAGCGTTTGGCTAGCGATACCGCTCGACCAGGGAGGCCCCCGGAAAGAAGACCTCAGCACGGATCAATTTAGTAGTCCCACGTAACGAACATAAACTGCGCAGTGGATGAAAGTAAGAAAGATATCACTACGTTCGTGGTACTGAGCTGCGCAGTGGTGGTTAATACGAAAGATGTCATTACGTTTGAAGTTGTAAAGAATCAAATTTCTTGCTAGTGGTAACTCGTGGGCCTTCTATTATCTAGGAGGTATTGATTAAATTAGGAAATCTTGCTCTATACCGAACAGTGGTGAGTTGTAGCATTTTTAACAGTAGCAGCTTTTTCAGAAATTTAAATATTTTACGATTACAAAAAAAAAAAAAAAAAATTTATATCAATAGTGTAAGGCATGTTAACAAAACATGTTAAACATTAAAAACCATTTCTGAAATGAAGAAAATTTTCAACAAGAGTGAAATAAACTAAGTTTCACATTATAAAATGTTTGTAATAATTCCATGAATCGGATGAACAATTTTTAAAACGCTATTTGTTCGATTCAGTAGCCCTGTGATAACCATTTACTTTTCTCTATAAACAAAAAGTGATTTTTCTTGATGAATAATTGGAAAAAAAATATGGCTAGTCTGAGGGGAGCAACGAATTATAGCCATTGAGTGTCCCCCATCTGTGATATCTTTTTCCATAAGTTTCTTGCGTTTTTTCAAGGCAGGCTGTCACCAAAGCTTAGCAATTATTAGCGTGCACGTACCAATACGAAAAGCTTCCCAAAAGAAATTTTTTATTAAATTTATTTAATTGATTGATAGTTTTCATCCTATAAATAAATGACTAAATGCAGGGTATCTGCTACATTTTAGATTCTCAAATTTATGACTTTTTCATGACTAATTCCAAGAATTTTTCATGAATTAACGAAGTTACTATTTTCTCCGACAAAAACACAACGATAAATATAAAAAAGTATTATAATAACATTAATTGAAATGATAGGTATAACCAAATGTTGTTATACTCTGCATCTTCCTATTTATAGATTTTAAATTTAGAAAACAGAGTAAAGAAAGAGTTGAAGCAATAAAATAGCTGGGGAAAAAATAAATCAAAAATTTTTTACACTTTTTTCTGCAGAATAATATTCTAAAGATTCTTTTCTTGTTCATCAGAAAAGAACGAAATACTCCTGATTTTTCTGTTCTCATTTCGGAATAAAAAAATTCTCCAAAAATAAGTAATAACAAAAATTCTGAAATCACAAAATTTTAAAAGATAAATAGTTCTAGAAGAAATGATGTTTTTCCTTTCATTTTCTGAAAGAACACCATAATTTTTAAAGCACATGGTAAAAACATTTTATACTTTCCTAAAATATGACTGTGAGTGGGGATTTTGTTACAAATTCAGATATTCGGAACACCAAGAAATTGGGGGGGATTCCGTTTTAAAAATTAGATTTTAGAAAAATTAGATTAAAATTTAGACATTTCAGATGATTTTTTTAAAAAAAAAATTACGACATTTCATGACAAATTTTTATTCAATACCGAAATTCATGACTTTCTCATGACTTTAGAAGTGCGCAGATACCCTGTAAATGCATTGATAGTACTGATTTAAGGTACAAAAGTAGAACTCAAATCTGAAAATCAGACAAAACATTCACACAAAAAAGTCGAAAAAACAACAAGCACTTCAAGTAAGTGTTAAAATTTTATTACAAAAATACGAAAAATTCATTTTACTTATTATAAGCACATAAAAAGGTGTAGTAAAAAGTATGCATTGTGACTTCATTTTTTACTCTTCTGGAATACTTTTTGCAGTTCCTCTGCACTGGTGGATTCTGCTTTTTGTTTCAGATCTTCAGATCCGGCCGTTACACCCCAGTTATCCGGGCAAGAGAAGGCAGTGCAATATGGACGTCCTGTTGCAGGCTTCAGATTTTCCCAGTAATCTCTGCGGGCTCTACCATGAAAGAAATTCAGAGGATTAGCATTTTTCAATATGATTACGAGCAATACAGATTAGAGATATTTTGCGCTTTCAAGAAGTAACGCACTCGGTCAAGTACATACAGTTCATATTATTATATTCTATGCAAAATTATAATTATCAGGTTATACTATACAGCTTTATTGTTTTTACTTTCTAGTTTAATCGTGATATCGTTCAATCGAATCTAAGACGTACGATTATATGTTGTGATTTAGCACGAATACCAAGGATGCAGCAAATTTGAACGATAATATAGCTAAAAATATTTTATTTGAACAGTATCATGGTCTGAAATTTGAAACAGTGTAGAGACAAATGTATATAAGGTATAATCACTCACCTTGCTCTGACCCAGGGTTTGGTATGCATTTTGAGCCCTTCTCCCCAAGGTTCGTGTTTTTCAGATGATTTAGGGCTTTTGCCCCTTTCCTTGGCGAGTTCTTCCGAAACTGCCCTTATATGGTATGATTCGACGCCACAACAGCCGCCAATGTACCTGACACCAAGTTCATATGCCTGCCTAGCATAACTTTGCATGTCCCAGCGAGTACAGATCCTGGGTTCCAATGCTGCAAAAATAAAATGGTTAACCCACATGTTTACAAGTTCGTTAAAACACAAAACTCAATTTTATAATAATATTTTTTTCCAAAAATAGCCGATAAAAATTAATTTAAAAAAAAAACAGAAAGATATATAGATGTACTGTTTGCTGCATAACTGTTTAGCAAACGAGTTATTCATTCAGACCAAATTTCAAAATTAGTACAAAATGTCGTAAATAGATGGAGCTGCTAACTTCGAAAACTATAAAAGTTAAAACTATAAATGTTAATGTTTGTCATAATGTCTGCTAATTTTGACTTTAGACTACTCCACGTTGTTACAACAAATATACGGACACATTGTTTGAAATTTTTTCTGGGTTAGTGTTAACATTTATTGACAAATTTTTCTATTAATTTTCAAATTTTATAAGAAAGAATCCTCTGGTTTCATAAACATGGCGCAGTAAACAAAACATTTTTATCCCTTTCCGCTTTTCTTTCATTATTTTAAAACATATCATTTGTGGAAAGCCCGATATATATTTTTTTCAATCTGTTTTCTAATTAGTTCTGTTTCCATTATATCTGAAATTCCACTTCATAAATGTCCCGCAGTGAACTGATCGTTAAGACAAGGTTCCCAGCAGATCACCGAAGTCAAGCATCACCGGCTGCGGTCAGTGTGCGGGTGGGTGACCACTTGGATCAGTCTGCGTAGGGACCGAGGGTGTGCGGTATTGGTCCTCGTTAAACTGTGCTACCGTAAAGTGCTCGACTTCGCGCGCAGGTCGTCGGGCTACCGAAGCGGGGGTGCCATCCCCTCCGCAGAGGATCAAAATTGTGAGGATTCGTGAGAAGCTCATCATCAGGGATGTTTCCCAGACCGTCGCCAATAGCCCATTGTGCAGCTCTAGTGCGACGTAAATTAACAACAACCAACAACAACAATCTAAAATTGTTCTCAGAAAATAATAAATTTAAATGATTTATTATTTCAGCATAAATTATTCAGTTAAATTTTAATAGTGGCAGAGCACGTATCAATCGTCCTTTAGATACCATTTAGTTTGGAGCCTCCATGGCTGAAACGAATTGCCTTTCCGACAAATATTCAGAAGCGTGGAGGTAGCGGGTTCGAAAATACACCAACCTTGGTGTATCTTTGAATAGTTTTTCTCTGATTTGTTCTATCTATTCTACAATTTTACAAGATTTTATAGACCGTTATTTGTAATGAACTGAACTAAAAATCAGAATTTCAGGTCTTCAACAATTATTTACATTACCTAGTTGCTAAAAATTATGGTGAATTTTACCCATTTGTTCTCATTGCTGGATAGGTTACTAACTGATCAACTGATGCACGGTTGAAAGTTACCTGTAACCATATCAACATCAGATTGGATGTCCTCAACAACGATGTGGGCAGTGCATCAGTTTGGTATTCTATTTCTTAATTTCTATAATATACTAACAGATTTAATTTGTATCCTTATGCGTTTAAACAAAAAAACTTTGATCGGATGTCAGTATCAAACCTACTACCTTCAGTTTTTAATTATTACTTATCTTATGACTGAACACAAAAGACAATCTATTATCTCGATATCAATAGTATAAATGACGCCAACTGAAAGTTACACTTTATTTAGTAAGTGTGATGTAACTGCTAATACGATTATTAAAAATCAACTCACTAGTATATAAGACGCTAACTCGTTTCATTTTCGAGGTACCTTTTGATAGTTGAAGGTTATTGTCATTGTCGATTTTAACTCCCTCCACTTTGGTCACCTGCTGACGCGCTGCAAACAAGCCTACTCCGATTAATGGTATACGTTGATAAGTTGACTAGCTATGTGTGACTGAGCCACCGTCCTCCACTCGCTGTTGCTTCTCAGTTTCATTTACACACAACGGGATCCTTCACACACTCGGCTGCTAATAGCAACACAGGAGAGACCACGCGCACACAAACATGAACCTAATACAGCTGTCATCACAAGTACTCAATCCGGTGAACTTAACACAGCTCTCCCGGTCTTTCGCAAATACGGCAACTAGTGGTATCCGTTCAATGAATTTTATCCCTGACAAAATTCTGGTGGGGGAGTATTGCGGCGTAACTACCACTACGATTCTTAAATATCAATTCACTAATATATAAGATACGCTAACTGGAATTCAATCTTGAGTTAGTTGAAGTTTGGCATTGTAGATTCCCCACAGTTAGTTAAAGTTATTAGTTAATTAGAATTTATTCGTAGAAAGATCGAATGTATACTTACCAAAAGGAAATTCAGGTAAATCTATGAACCCTTGTCTTCCAGCATCCGGAGTGTGATAGGCAAGAGGTTGAGTCATAAGATAAGGCTTAAGCCCAGCTGCATCCAAGGCTTTCTTCATCACTGCAATGGCTTCCAGCATTTCATAGGGGCCATAGTGACAGTTTAAGCCTACTACGTCCGCTCCTGAAAAAAAAGAGAAATATTTTCTTATCTTTCTGCCTTGAATTTTACAACTACCAAGAAGAAATACAATGCTTATTTGTAAGAGTGATTTTCAAAGTTGTGTCGCCAGGTAATATTAAGCAGCAACAGTTTAAGAACCTTGCAAAGCTGTATTTTTGCGCTATATATTATACCACCTCGTCATAAAAAAGAGCAAATAATTTAAATTGTCTAAATGTTATTTAATTTTTTAAAAAATCACTAATTTTGAGAGATTTGTTCCCAGATGAAAATAATCAAAATCTACGAATAATTCTCTCTATTCGCTCATTTTTAATGAGCCCAGGTAATGAAGCTTTCTAGTAACTTTTCAGATATTAAAAAAATTAGTTCATTTTCTAAAAACGGTGGTTATTCTTAGCATTGTCGATTTGTGCCATTTTCAGAATTCGCAAAGCCTAGGTGCATAACCACAGCAATTTTTAAAAAAATACCATATTATGTGACCACAGACCCTTCATAAAAGAGTTTTAATCCATTTATACTCGTTCACAAAGAGCGGTCTAAACATTAAAAACTCCCACATGAAAAAAGAGTTTGCTCATATTTATTAATACCAAAAAAAAAGTAGAAGACTTGCGGCGCATTTTAACCCATACAGCCATCAGCGCTTAGCTTTGGACGGCCAATCATCCATAGCTGATGCCGTGGTGGCTCAGGGGATAGAGCACTCGCCTCCCAATGAGGTGAACCGGGTTCGAATCCCGGCGATGGCTGTTTGATTCGAATTCCGCATCCGGCGGCTTGCACCGACCATAGTGCTGACGTAAAAATATCCTCGGTGGTAGACGGATCATAACCATGGAAGGTTTTCATGGTTGTCCTCTCCATGTGAAGCAAATGCGGGTTAGTTTTATCAAGAAATCCTCCACGAAGGCAAATTTTTCCCAATACTTGATCCGGGAGTTGGGCTCNATTTAAAAGAACAAAAAGGATAAAATAACAAGAAAAACAAGGCAAAAAGAGATAAATGGAATAGAATGCATAGTGACATGCTTAGCCCATACGGGCCCTAGTCTTCCAGTAGCGTCGACACACAGTAGTGGAGATGAGCGCAGGACAGACGGAAATATGGCAGGTCCATGTCCTCCCCAAGGCGACAGAGCTTGAATTAGGACAGTCTAAAGAGAGCAACTACCTTAAACCTGGGCTGATTTGGGATAGTTAAAATATGGTTGTACCAGGGGGTAGACAGATCATAACCATGGAAGGTTTTCGTTGTTGTCCTCACCATGTAAAGCAAATGCGGGTTAGTTTTATCAAGAAATCCTCCATGAAGGCAAATTTTTCCAATACTTGATCCGGGAGGGGCTCAAAATTACAAGGTTACGGAGTTGAACATAAGAAACTGAAAATTTCGGTTGGCTGTTTTACGACGATTATAAAAAAAAGCCATCCATAGTTTCTTGCTCTTTTAATATTAGTTGGCAACCTCTAATGTGTATATTTTTTTGTCTTCGTTTTAGAGAAGGATTCGAAAAATATGGGTCGTTACGAAGCATTCTATCCCCAGATAGAAATTTTCAAAGTCTTTAACAATCTGTTTCAGCAGTCTTTTTATTATCTAACAAGTTAAAAAACTTGCGTGCCTCAAAACAAATTTTTTTTCAGAAATAAGGTTTTCTCGTCAAAAAAGAAAAAATTACCAGCTTTGGCCATTCTGACAGCACATGTGCCTGCATCCACACCATGCATGTCTCCTTCTTTACCAATACACATTGTGGCAGCTACGGGAAGGCTGCTCTCTTTGCACACTTCAATGGCCCACTCCATTTCTTCAATGTGCTCAAAGTACTGTGGGAAAAGAAAAACTCATAACCATCCAAGCTCATTTATGGTTATTTATTTGTTGCTTTATAATATACGAGTATATGTTACCGGCAAAGTTTGAAATCCGGCATTCTATAGAATGCCTAGGAATTGTTTATAATGCCTAAAACTAGCCGGCAATGCATGAAACGATTTATATATCACACATTTCCTAGTCATTCTATAGAATGCCAAATGAGAAAACGGCAAAGTATAAAATACATCTCCGATTCGTTTAGAATATCACTTGTGTTAGGTAATTCAAAATGTCATTCAAGCCTGCCATGTAATGCACAAGTAATTTAATTTCTTATTTTTTATTTGAAAATCTTGTTTCCCTTAATAAGAAATGCATGAGTTATGCTTTGCACAACTTTCGTTTTTGTTTACGCATTTTGAATAATATTTTTTTAAAGGCACTCTCATAATTTTTTTCAGAATAATATTTTTATTTTTAAGAAATGCACATCATTTACATAATAACCTCATCAGGACGTTTTTTTCCATACTTTGCCTAAATAGCATTTGTCATTCCATAGAATGCCTCGGTATTATATACAATGACTTGGGAAAGTATGTAATACTTCTCATATTTCATACCTTGCCCAAAACCATCCAGCATTATATACAATGCCTAAGCATTCTATAGAATGCCGGCGTTTCATACTTTGCCGGTAACATTTACATACAACACTAAACACCCTTTTGAGACAAAAATAGGGGCCTCCTTGGCCGACACTCAATGCCTGTTATTAATATTGACTGTATTATCAATATTTCAAATTAATGCTTGTACGTTTTGTAAAAGATATTATTAATTTGATTTATTACTAATTACTTTAATAAACAGAATCTCTCAGTTTCTTCATCTATAGGAATGATGTAATCAAAATTCGACTTATTTTTAAAGAAAAACAACACTTTTCAAAAGGGAGCGCTAAACCAAGTTTAGGCCCAGTAGTTCAAGTTCACCTTAGTCGGGCCCTGCTAGAGCCGATAAACCGTACTTTGTAATGTGCACATAGGCCTGCATATGTTTGAATAACAATAAATAAATACCCTAAATAAATAAAGAAAAAAAATTAACGTAAGCATAGGAGATAAGGTTTCGATTTATCTATTTCTGCAGACATGGTGGTTGATACAAAATCACAAAATATGAGCTTACATAATATTTGAATAGTCCTTTAGGCAATAAATAAATAAATAAATAATTTAAATAAATACATGAGAACTTAAATAAAACCAAACAAAATTTTGAAAATAAGCATGTCAGTAAAAACAGCACTTCTTCAGGGGGCACACTGCCTTGCTAACATGCTGGAGCCTTAGCTGATTTTGGCGTTTTTCTATTTTGACTTATTGTATTTAAATTTTGGTCTCCATTTTTGTTTAATTCCATTTTTATACTTTTAATGGATACATAATAATTATCTAAGCATATCAGAAATTTCAGAATTTAATATTTTTTAAAAAAAAAATCAGAATTGAGGGTATTAATAATTTCTGTTGCTTTACATTTTAAATCCATAAAAGTTAAAAAAATATCAAAATCTCATAGAAATGGGTTTTTGAATCGAGTTGAAATAAGAGTTGAATTTCTATAGGATTAGAGTTCAATGACAAACTTACTCGATAATAAGTTTTAGTGGACAAAAATTTTCTGAACTTAATACTATTATGACAGCTTAAAATATATCGTGACAGCTCAAAAACTGAGCTATCACCAATTTATCTTCTTTATTCGTAGAATGTAATAAGATGTTTCATAATATAATTTTCAACTGGAATATCTTAATTTTTAAGTCGTTAGAATTTTTTTTAAAAGTTTCATATTTGTGAATATTGAGTATATAGTGACATTTTAAAGACATTTTATTAGTCTGACTGATTTAATGCAAATATTCCAAATTTGACCAATGATTTTAAACATAAATTAAGAAAAAAGCAAAAAAGGAAGAGAAATGTACACTTTGCGGAGTTTTGCTTGAAAAACCTGAAATTTTTTAAAACAAGTTTCAAAATTAGGATGATGAACAAAGTCTTCCGGTGCAAATATTTCATTTGAAATAGTTTGCGTTATAAAACATTATTTTAGAATTTTTCTAATCAACAGCGCCATCTGGTAACAAACTTAGTAAGTCATTTTGAAATTTTGATGACTCAAAATTTAGCTGAACGCAAACCCTACACAATTATTTCATTCCGTTTTTCTTTTTTTGGTTTTTAAAATCGTCGGTCATATTTGAGAGACACAAAAATTTATTTCATCTTTTTTTTTAAAAAAAAAAAAGTTTAAATAGTTCTTACTTCGCAAATTAGGAAATCCACATCATTTTGAACAAACACTTTGACTTGCTTTCTGAATTCAGCCTGTACATTTTGTTTACCTTTGCCACTGAGGTAAGCGGGAGTTTGTGAAATTCCGCCACCTACAAGGGCATCACCCTCATTGGCAACATCTCTAGCTAACTTGCAGGCAGCATCATTAATTTCTGCACCCTGAAACACAATTCAACCCACATTAGAGGAAATATATGAAGAGATGTTGTTCAGAAAAAAATGAGTATATATATATATATATTTGTGCCATTTTNATTTTCTACTTTACTATTAAGTTATAGTATAATGTTTAAATTTAGGATACATTTATCCTATTAAATATTAATAGCGGATTGTAAATTTGAGATGTTATAAACTGGTTAAAATCACAGAGCTTAAATTAACTTTGTATATACACAGCGTGCGGTCCTCAAGTTTGATTTATTAGATTTTGCTATTTTTACTAGCACTATTATGCGAATAAAAAGATGTTAGATCAAAATTCTAAATCTTTTGATTCTTCAAATCGATTTTTACAAAATCTTTGAATTGATATTTTCTATCAACAAAGATCTTCTGAAGAGATGACTGAAAACTAAATATCAGGACAAATGAGGATAGTTTTATATGCAACCAATTTATCAATTTTGTTCGTATCCATCCTTTTATTATTGTTTTGTCTTAAATTTCTCCTTAAATCATCTTAGAGGCTATGTAAACAAGAAATGATTGGTTGTAGACAAGACATTAATATATAATTTATTAAAGAAATACATAAAATAATAAAAAAATTATTTAAAATTATCAAGATTTCTGGAGAAGTTTATTTTTTATACACTCAAGAGCCAAAACATTATGACCACCCCTACATTTTGCAACGAACTCTCCTGGATGACGTGGAAGGTACGTGATCAGGTGGAAGTGGTATTAACTGTTGCTGGAGAGTTTGAAGAATCATTCTTTCACTTACTTCTGTGTGTGATGGGAAAGGCTGTGGATCTAAGCGACTTTGACAGAGGGAAGATTGTAATGGCTCGAAAGCTCGGAACAAGTATTTCCGAAACTGCACCACTCGTGGGTTGTTCGCGATCTACAGTTGTTAGTACTTATGCAAAGTGAATGAATGACGGTGAAACCAACAGTAGACGACATAGTGTTGGACGTCCACACGCTATCAAAGAAAGAGGTCGTCGGAGATTGTTTCGCTTGGTGAAGAAAAACCGGAGAAAGACAGTGGCTCAGCTGACAGCCCAAATCAGTGCAGGGTCAAGTAGAATAGTATCAGAGCACAATGTTCAGTGGACACTATTGGATATGGGGCTACGCTATAAAAGTCCCACTCATGCCCCTTTGCTGACCAAGCGTCATCGCCAACTACGCCTGCGCTGGGCCCGGAAACATCGCGACTGGTCCATGGATCAATGGGAGAGAGTTGCCTGGTCAGATGAATCACGGTTTGTTATTCATCACGCCGATGGCCGTGTCAGGATACGTCGTCTGCCAGGCGAACAGTTGCTCTCTCAATGCACAGTAGGTCATACACAGGCCGCTGGTGGTGGTATTATGCTTTAGGGGACTTTCTCTTGGGCGTCTCTGAGACCCGTGGTTGTGGTAGAGCAGACCATGAATGCTACAGGGTATCTGAACATCATTGCTGACCAGTTGCACCCTTACATGGCCTCTGTTTTTCCAGCTGGAAATGGAATTTTCCAACAGGACAGCGCCCAGTGTCACAAGGCTCAAATTGTGTTGGAGTGGTTCCCGGAACATGATGCTGAATTCCAGTTAATGTCCTGGCCGCCTAACTCACCGGATCTCAATCCGATAGTACACATTTGGGTTGTCATGGAACGGCAGCTCAGAGTTCAAAGACCACTAAGTCGCAATATCTCGGATTTGCGTGACCGTTGCTTTAACATCTGGTACAATCTGTCTCCAGTCATCTACCAAGGACTTGTGGCATCCATGCCAAGGCGGGTTGCAGCTGTGTTGCGGGTTAAAGGTGGGCCAACTCGTTATTAAGAGGTGGTCATAATGTTTTGGCTCTTGAGTGTATATATATCGCGTTACTTAGAAAATGTCGGAAATTAATAATATCTTGATTATCTTTAATTACAACCCGATTCATACAAAAAAAAATGTAAATATCACATGATAAATCATTTAATGCAACAACACTTTAAGAAAAATACTGATGCAGTTACAAAAAAAGAAAGAAAATTTTTTAAAAAAAAGTACTCACGGTGAATTTCTTTCCAGCTTCATTACCTCTGTTGATGAGTTTGTCGTCACTTGCATAAAAAGTAAAAGCCTGCATCACATCAGATCCCGCTCTCAAGAACTCACGGTGGAGACTCTTCACTGAAATAATACCCGTTCTTTTTATTACGACTGTTATTGAATACCCGTTATTTTTAAAAAGCTTAAAAAATATACTTCACATATTTTTTAGCACTTACAATGAGAGTACGCACACATTTATCATTAACAATATTTAAGTAATCGCAGTAAAAATAAACGCACCATCATCAATATTTAAGTAATCATTGTAAAAATTAGTTCACCATTAGTAATATCCAAACAATCACAGTAACACAGGGGTGGCCAAACTTTTTTGATTATCGACCTTTATATAATTTTTCGAAATCTCCATCGACCTTCGCAAAAGTAATTTTCTGTTAATTAAAATAAAACTCTATTAGATACTATTCTCGTACATTTATTTTATGATTTTAAACATTTATTAAAGTAATAGTACATTATGTAACAATAGTTTTATGAAAAATATATTAATATTGAAATTTAAATACCTTATTATTAAATAATAAGTAATTATGCATAAGTAGATATAATAAGTAAAGTAACTAAAGATTTACTGCTTCTTGATCAATGAGATGGGTG